ACATTGTAATTCTAAACCACTGAGAAAGTCACATGGAATAACTTGCTGTTGCTCAAGTTGGCAAGAGAGAGAAGTGAGAGGCCAGGAAATTTTATTGTGAGAGTGGCAGCCTCTAAGGAAGGAATAAGGTATGTGGCAGAGATCATTTTTCAGTGTGGAGCAAAGGCTTAACCTCTACCCAGGCTCCCTGAATAGTACCTTTTAAAATAGTACCTCAAAAAATTTTTTTGAGGGGGAAAGTTAGAATAGGATGATGGCTAAGACTAGGCTGGGCCTAGGACTTCAGTTAGTGTTAGGGTTATAGGTATAGTTATGACTAGGGTTAAGTGTTATGGATAGGGGCTGGGCTCAGGCTATAAGTAAGGTTTGGTCTAGTTTTTGGGTTACAGTTAGGTTTATATTTGTTTATTTTTTTCTTTAAATATATTTAATTTCTTCTCCATTTGGAAGTTCTATAACTACATTGGACTCCTTGTGTGGCACTGTAGGATCGGCACTGGACTTCCATACCACATGGTCAGTAGTTCAAGCCCACCAAGCTGCTCCTCAGAGACCCTATGCAGGGTTGCTTTGAGTTGGAACTGACTCAATGGCATTTAACAACAGCAACAACATCTATTATTCGTTCTTTTTATTTTATGGTTTTGTTTTCTTACTACAAACTGATATCTCTGGTTCCCTATTTTTAGTCTTGTAAGTTTGTTTATTTTGAATACTTTTATATCTGGGTTAATTCTGGGTAATATTGTCTTATATATTAATCTCAGGTTGTTTTCTGCTGTTGTTAGTTCCCTGTCTAAAGAACTCCCTTTAGTATATTTTATAAGGTTCGTCTCGTTTTTACCAGTTCTTTTAATTTCTGTTTGTCTGGAAATGGCATAATTTCGCCTTCGTATTTGATAGATAAATTTGCTTGCTATATATATGATTCTTGGTTGGTAGTTTTTTCTTTCAGAGTTTTATATATGTTATCCCATTGTCTTTTTGACTGCATAGTTTCTGCTGAAGTAGGTAACTTTCTCCTTTGTAGGTAACTTTCCTTTTCCCAAGCTGCTATCAAGAATCTTTCCTTGGCTTTGGTTTTGAAAAGTTTGATTATGTGTTGGTGGTTTTCTTTTGGAGTCTATCCTGTATAGAGTTTTTCATTCAACTTCTTGAAATCATATCTTCTCATCTTTCATGATATTAGGGAAGTTTTCTTCTAAAAAAATTTTTTTTTTAAGCAAGAATGAGGTTTTCTTTATTCAATATTGCAAAATCAGGTGCCCAACCCAGAAAACACGGGCAGATGCCGTGATACATTTTGACAATTTTCTCTAAGTGTTTTTTTTTTTTTTTTGATCTCTTACTGTTCTAGAATTTTAGTTACATATAAGTTATTCCTCTTGATTGTTGTTGTTGTTGTCAGGTGCCATCAAGTCGGAACCGACTCATAGCGACCCCATACACAGCAGAACGAAACAATGTCCAATCCTGGGCCATTCTCACTACCGCCGCCACACTTGACGCCATCAATGATGCCACCTGGCTGATCCATATCGTTTGGGGTTGTCCTCTTTTTCTCTGACCCTCCACCTTACCCAGCATGACATCCTTCTCCAGCGACTGTTCTCTCCGGACAATGTGTCCAAAGTATGAGAG